TCAAAAATTCCACAAAGAGATCAAGACCTCAATATATTCCACAAAAGACATGGAATATTCTTATAGAGGTCAAATCTAAATCATCCTAGTTCGAGAAATACGCCACTAACGGCCCTCGAATCATGGATAAATCTTAGGAGAGGAGAATCAAGGGAGAAACAGAATTGTACCCGCTATCTTGATGAATAAAATTATGTTTCTTCAGATTTTATTTTTGTGGTTTATTTATTTTCCATATGTTTAAAATTTGTTGCAAACAGACAGATTCATTATCTGCTGAATATTGAATCACGCCTATATTTTTCGATTATAAAGAAAGAGAAAAAGAGAGCCAAAAAATATAAAAAAATGAAATTTCCTATAACTTGCAAAGAAAAAGAAGACATAAATTCAACATGCATGGAATATTTATTTATATTTCTAGATGGAGGGAATTTCAAGATAAATACCGTAAAGCCCCAAATTTCCAAACTATGACCCAGTTCATTCTTTAAATGCATATAGACTCCAAATTCGATGATTTCTAATGTTTGATAGATATTTAAAATAATTTGTTTCTTTGGGAAGATCTTTGAATGTGAATTAAGGTCATAAGGGATTTCTAGAGTATTAAGATTTTGTGGCCTAATACCAAGAAAATGAAAAGTCGTAAAGCTCTTGTTTCAACTCCTTAGACCGTTCGTTAATTCAAGTTATGTGCTAAAGTTAATGCCTATCTTACTGACCATTACGGATTCTGCGCGATTCGCCTCACAAATTGGACATCAGCCGCACGGGCAAGTCAATATTACATGGATGACCACTGTAGGTTGTTAATCAGAGCAACCTCTACAGTCTTTTATTTGGGAGAGTTTGGTTCGCCAAATTTCTATATTTCTCAAATTCATGCGATATACATGGATTGGGGCCTTCAGAGGCCGGACCCATATAGCCCCTACATCACATTATGTCGGTGAACACTACCTTACTCAATATTAATGATTTTTGAAAGGTCTTTGTCAAAATGTTTTGGGCCTGCACTTATGATTTTGTCTTTTCTTTATGTTTATGTTATATATATGTATACTGTTTATCCTTTCCCTTGAGTTGCATGCCAGTACTTGTCGTACTTACCTTCCTCGGACGCTACATTGCTTCATGATGTAGGATCAGAGACACATGTTTGTGGTTCCGGGCTGTAGTAGATCATTGAGGATAACAATCAACACTGTGGTGATATTTCCATCTTCCGGAAAGCAGACTTTTCTTTTATTAGTCTTTCCTTTGATTTTCATGGTCTGTCGGGGGCCATGTCCTGGCGTAGATATTGTTATTCTGTTAGTATAAGTTTCGTAGACCTATGGTTAGTTGGATTTGGTTTTCTAATTAAGTGTCGAATTGATTTTTCTCTTTTGAATTTTTTTGAAGGTTGATTAGAATCGGCCTTACTTTCAACATTGGTATTTAAAATTGATATTTATATTGAATTATCTAGATTAAGCAGATTGGTTGGTACTCTCGGGCCTATGGAAGTTCCGAGAGAGAATATTTAAACAAAAAACTTAATATAGCTTATTATCTGGCTTAAGCACTAATAAATTGAAATTAATTACAAACTTCGTTGCTAAATAGGTCAAACCTAACATAGCCTTCTAATAATTTATCACTAATTCTTTCCTAAAGGAATGAAGGACAAGAAAAATCTTGAATCATCAAGAAATCACTTGGCTCTAAAGCACTCTAGTGTGGAAACAATTTATCTCCACCACTTGTATCAGTATTAACACCTTGATGAGTCATAAACTGATGTTGGTCATGGATCATTAAGAAATTTCTTGGTTGTACAACACTCCATTGTGCAAATAACTAATTAATCACCACCACCTATAGCAATATTCCCATCTCGATGACTCATAAACTGATATTGATCCTAAATTATCAAGAAGTCACTTGGCTGTACAAAACTCCATTGTCCAAACAACTTGTTAGTAAAAAATAACAAAACAACAAAATTACAAGATTACAATTGAAAATGAAATGAAGAAATAAAAATCTCTTTAGGCTGAGGCGCGGATATCTCGCTCTCTTTAAGGAGATTCAAGTCCATTGCAGCAAATCTTTTTCACCGGTCCAGCAGTAGTCCTTCTTGACTTGTCCCCTCCAGGATACAACAACCTTAACACAAAGTATAACTCAACAACTCTGGACAAGAGTTGAGTCCAAAGCTCCACAAAAAGAACACGATCCCTTCAACTAATAAGAACTCTCTTTTTTAACGAACTTTATGCACTCTATATTTTCTTGGGTGTCCCATACCAAATGAAGACCACTACTATTTATAGTTGAGAAAGTCTTTCTAGCAATGAATAGGAAGATAATGGGGTAGTAAATAGTGAAGATAAATGGCCTTAAGAGTTACATAGGTTACAAGGTATAATGCAGGAATAAAGAAAGAAATAATATATGAGAAGTTACAAAAGTTTCTCTTGGCTGAATGGTCAAAGCCAACCGTTGGTGACATGCAACAAAGAATTAGTAACATATTCAGTACGGAGTAATGCACTAAGCAAGAAATAATTGTCATTACTTCTGTAGCATATGAGAAAGTCAATCAAACGATAATATTTTAATCCCAAAAACTAAGCAAATTAATATTAAAATGCTAACACAAAACCAACAATCCCCACTCATTTTAATATTACTAGTTTTTTGACACGTGCGTTGCACGTGACTATCAATTCCAAAAATATATGTGATAGTAGATAATATTGCTTATTTAAGTGAAGATTTGAATAATAAGCTCAGAAAAAATAATATTGCAGATTTTTTTGTGAATGTTCAACATGGATCGTCATATATATATCTCTTATTCACGCAAACCTATGAAGATAGTCAATGAAACATTTTATTAGTTAAATGCAATAATGTATATATATTTATTTCAATTTGATGAGGTTCAATTATGTAATTAGTCATATCTCACTAATATTACCTTGTAGACAATATTCGCTTTGTATTTTTCTTGTTATCTAACCAGATGTGTTTTGCATGTGTATTCCACGTTAAATTGTTTAGATGTCATATGAACATGTGAAGAGAACAACTACATTTAATATATTCACATATTTTCACATTTGTTGTGAGTTTTCTTTTAAAACAAAACTCGAAATATTTTAAAATAATATATTTTGAAGTTAGAAGATCTTATTAACTTGATAATACATTTGTGACATATATAATACTCTAATTTATATACAAATACCTACCCAAATATAAATATATATATTTGCATTAATGAAAATATTTATATCATAAAATTAATATATTAAATAAATAATAAAAATTAAACTAATACAAACTTCAACTGACGTTATTACAAGTAATATAAATTTTTCTTCGTCTAAAATACTGAAATATTAAGAAATGGTAAATAAGTAAAACAAAAGGGAGATGTTTATATAGTATTAACTATTTTGAAAGCAAACTTTATGAGAGTTTAAATCACATAAGTAGCATTGATAAATAAAATCCTTCTTTTGTCTTGAGCATCAAAAACAAATCGTGATGATTCTCTAAATTTTGGAAAAGATATTCAGAAGCATGCATCTACATCTCAAGAGAAATTGTTGAAAAAACAAATGAATTTAGACTACATCATGTTAACTTCATATATTGGAACATTACATACTAATGTATATTGGAACATACATTATTATATCATCAAAATTATTTTCCTCAAGTACTCGAGGTTATGAAATGTACCCTCTTAGGATAGAACGACTTACTTCATTAGATAAGTGGTACTTCATATTCCGCTAAACTTCGAACTCACTCAACGACAATAAATCACCCAAAAAAATTTAAAATGCAAGAAGAAGAGTAGAAGATTAAAAAAAATGTGGTTGAAAAATGAGAGGAAGCCCCTCTATTTATAATCAACAAAGGGTAGTATACACAAATGTTTTTTGTGTCTTATCTGAAAAGTCATGATCTTTTCGAGAAGTCACAACCCTTTGGAAAAGTCACAACTTATTGAAAAAGTCACAACTCTTTGGAAAAGTCACAACTTATTGAAAAAGTCACAATTCTTTGGAAAAGTTACAACTCATCGAAAAATCACAACCCTTCGAAGCCAATCACAACTTATAAAAAAAGTCACAACTCATCGAAAAAGTCACAACCTAAGTTAGGGATGTTTTAGTAAATTAACATTCAAGTTAGGAGTTCATGCTTTTAAGGTAATATAGATAGATATTAGAGAATAAATCAGTTGAAGGAAGACTACTATGCATAATGAAGGTGTGCTCTTTATTGAACTTTCACATAGTGAAACAATAACTTTTACTCCAGAGTCGTAGTGGTCTCAGACTTGAACTATGACTACTTAAGAGAAATGAAATATCACTGCTCACACATAATAATTAAGGTGTTGTCATGAGCTTTAAAGCCAACACGTTATGACCTTGTGCTATCTCGATTTCATGAGTGCTTTTGAGAATAAGCCCAATTCTCATAGGAAGCGACCTACTTCCACACTCACATAGGTGAAATTTGTCGAGAGTGCTCCTGTAATTTTAACACACTACCCATACAGGAAACAATGCACTCACATCATAGGGAGGGAATAAAAAATAGTTCATTTTTTCACAACAAGTCATCATATGATTAGTTTTTCCCTTTGAACCTGGTTATAGGATCTCTAGTCCCCAGGTTGGGTTTCCTCATATATGGCTCAAAGATTTATAGGCTTCAATCCCATCCCCCTTGATGTGCTCCAGACCTTTTCTCTTGTTAAGGCCTTAGTAAGAGGATCTCTAAGATTATCACATGATTTGACATAATCAACATTAATGGTACCATTTGTCAAATACGATCTTACATTACTGTTTTCCTCATTATAGGTCTGGATATACCGTTGTAATAACGGTTTTGAACTCTACCAATTGCAACAGTTCTATCACAATGAGTTAAAATAGGAGGAATTGGTTTTTAAAAATAAGGAATTTGAAACAATAAATCTCTTAACCAATTCCTTCCTCACTAGCTGAAGCTAAAGTAATTAGTTCAGCCTCCATGGTAGAGTTAACAATTATAGTTTGCTTTTTTGATCTCCAACAAATAGCACCACCACCCAAAGTAAAAACATAACCAGTGGTAGAACAGGAATCACCTGATAAAGTGTTCCAATCTGCATCAGAAAAGCCTTCAAGTACAACATGATATTTTTTATAGAACAAACCACAATTTTTTGTTCCAATTAAATATCTCATAACTCTAGTTATATCATGCCAATGTTCATTACCTGGCTTGCTAGTAAACCTGCCAAGTACTCCTACTGCATATGCAATATTAGGCCTAGTACAATCAGTCATATACCTCAAACTTTCAATTATGCTAGCATATTCCTTTTGATTTATTACATCATTTTCACTTTCAACAGGAAATAAGTGAACACTTGAATCAAAAGGAGTTACAACATGCTTGCAATCATGAAAGTTATATTTTTTCAAAATTTTCTCAGCATAATGTGACTGGTCAAGGAAAATTCCATCACATGTTTTTGTTATTTTTATTCCAAGGATAAAATTTGCCTCACCAAGATCTTTCATATCAAAATGACTTCTAAGAATATTCTTAGCTTCACCAATGACATTCATGTTAGAGCCAAAGATCAACATATAGACAAATAATAACATGTGAATTATTCCAAGACTTGTGATAAATGCACTTATCACACTCATTTGTTTTAAAATCATTTTTAATCATGCATGAATCAAACTTTTCATGCAGTTGCTTTGGTGCATGTTTCAAGCCATATAAGGATTTAGTAAGTTTACATACTTTGCTTCCTTGGCCTGCTTCAACAAAATACTCGGGTTGATCCATATAAATTTTCTCATTTAGGTCTCCATTTACAAAAGCAGTTCTTACATCCATTTGATGAATTTGCAAACAAAAAATTGCAGCCATAAAAATTAAAAATCTTATGGATTTCTGTTGGGAGCACCCCCGAATGGGCCCTGCAGTGCACGATCCAGATTTAGTTGGAGCTCCAATGTGGGCTCCGGACATTGGGTGGAAAACCAAAAAAAAGTATAGAATGGTATCAAATTTTAAAAAATAAAAATAAAAAAATAAATCTTATGGATGTAATTCTTGTTACCGATGAAAAAGTATCAAAAAAATTCTAGGACTTTTAGTTGTTTAAAACCTTTTGCGACTAGCCTAGTCTTATATTTAGCAATTGATCCATCTGATTTCAACTTTTTACTTAAGACCCATTTGTAACCAATAGTTTTACAACCCGGTGGTAAGTCAACTAACTTCCAAGATTAATTTATTAGAAATTAGTGATTGCAATTCATCATGTACAACTTCTTTCCAATAAATAGAATCATGCGAAGATAATGCTTCTTTCAAAGTGAGAGGGTCGTCTGAAACATTAAACACATAAAAATCAGGATCAATTTTTTTTCTACTCTAGCTCTTTTACTTCTTCTTAACTCAAAATCATCAATTTCTTTATTTTTCAAAGTAGAAGTATGAGAACTAGATAGTGACAAAATATTTTGTTCAATCCTTTGACCCCCACTATTTTTAGAATCAAAAGGAAATTTATTTTCATGAAAAATAGTATCACCTGGTTCTATTATAATATTATCTTCAAGATTAAAAAATCTATAGGCTTTACTATTTGAAGCATAACCAAGAAAAGCACAAGTAGTAACTTTCTTACCCAACTTTATAATCTTGGGATCCATTAGCCTCACAAAGGCAAGATAACCCTAAACTCTTAGATATCTCAAACTTGACTTGTGACCTTTCCACAATTCAAAAGGTGTCAATTTAGACTTTTTATGAGGCACACGATTCAACACATAACAAGCAGTCAAAATAGCTTCACCCCAAAATTTAAAGGTGCATGTGACTCAATAAGCATGCCATTAGTCAATTCAACCAAAGTTCTATTTTTTCTTTCCGCTACACCATTAGATGAAGGAGAATAAGGAGGAGTTGTTTCACGAATTATTTCCAATGATCTAACAAAAGAATTAAACTCATTTGACTCATATTCACGGCATCTATCACTTCTAATTCTTTTTATTTTTCTTCCAAACTGATTTTCAATCTCATGGAGATAAACTTTAAAGTTTTCAAAATCATCACTTTTATTTTTCATCAAGTATACATATGTAAACTTAGAAAAATCATCAATGAAAGTGATAAAATATCTATTACCTCCACGAGTTAAAATTCCTCCAAGTTCATAAATATCAGTATGAACTAATTCTAACAAATCAATTTTTCTTTCAACTTGAAAATGAGGCCTTTTAGTAATTTTGGGTTTACTACAAGCCTCACACTTTTCAAAATTCTTTTTAACCATTGGGATTAATCCTAAACAACTCATGATTCCAACATAACGATCATTAATATGACACAAACGAGCATGCCAAAAATTGGTAGAAGAAAGCATATAAACAGAAGTAGAAGCTTTATTCATGTCAACATTCAGTTTGAACATCCCATCACAAGCATATCCCTTTCCCAAAAAAATATCCTTCTTCACTATTACATATTGATCAGATTCAATAATATGTTTAAAGCGTGCTTTATTAAGAAGAAAACTAGACATTAAGTTTTTTTCTCATGGAAGGAGTATAAAGTACATCTTTCAAAGTTAATACCCTTCCAGAAGTAAAACACAATTCGGCATCTCCCGTTTCAAGCACTTGAGTTGTGTGAGAATCACCAAGCTTTGTTAGAATGAGTATATTTTTAAAACCAGTCTTTGTCATAACAAACATGATGGTTTGCACCAGAATCAACCCACCATCCATCAACACTCTCAACCATGTTTATGTCCGTAATCACCGCCACAAAAGGTTCTTCGGTAACGTTTGCTTAAGGGTTAGGACCACATTTTCGGAATCTGCAAAATTGAGCAATATGCCCGCTCTTGCCACAAACAAAACATGGTCCCTTATCTTGAACTTGTTGATTTTGTACTTGGTTATTTTCACCATTATTTTTCTTGGGAGGTCTACCATTATTTTTCTTGAATTTTTTATTCATAGGCTTCAAAGAAGTATTTTTGTGAGATTCGGGAGTAGCATTATCCGAAGTAATTAAATTTACCTTCGTTGTTATGTTGCTCTCTTCTGTTTGTAAAAGTCTATCTTGGCCCCTTGACTCTTCTTCTATACATATTTTCATTATCAACATCTCAAGAGAGGTTTTCTTTTGTTTGTGGCGCATAGTTTTTTGAAATTCCTTTCAAGAAGGTGGAAGTTTATCTACTATGCCACAAACAATAAGGTTATCTCCAATTTTGACCACCTCGGACCTTAGCTCTCCAACAATCATTATAAAGTCTTGAGCTTGGTCTACCACTGATTTATTGTCCACAATTTGAAAACGAAAAAATCTACTAGCCTCATATTTTTTCGCTCTAGCCTCTTCAGTATCATACTTACTCTGCAATGCTTTTCAAATTTTCTATGTACTAGAGTAAGTTCTATCATAATAATCATAAAAATTATCAGATAAACAATTAAGAATATAATACCGACACTTATAGGAATCACCATCGTACTTTTCCACTTTCTCTGGATGAGAAATAGTTTCATTATCATTCATAGAGGTGATGTCTACTTTATTAGGATTCTTCTCAGTTAACACATAAGAAACATTGAGAAGACTTAAGTAGAAAATTACTTTACCCTTCCATCTTTTGAAATGGTTACCATTGAACCGAAATGGCTTGTTAAGGTCTCCCATCTTGACATCCGTGAATTTTTTAATTGTAGCCATTATGAATCTCCTTAAAATTGTTAGTGAAAAATTACAAAATAACAGAATTATAAGATTACAATTGAAAATGAAATGAAGAAATGAATTTTTTTTAGGCTGAGGCGCGAATATCTCGCTCTCTTTAAGGAGATTCAAGCCCAGTGCAGCAAATGTTTTTCTCCGGTCCAGCAGTAGTATTTATTGACTTGTCCCCTCTAGTATACAACAACCTTAACACAAAGTATAACTCAACAACTCTGGACAAGAATTGAGTCTAAAGCTCACAAAAAGAACACCTACCTTCAACTAATATGAACTCTCTTTTTTAACAAACTTTATGCACTCTATATTTTCTTGTGTGTCCCAAACCAAATGAAGACCACCACTATTTATAGTTGAGAAAGTCTTCCTAGCAATGAATAAGAAGATAATGGGGTAGTAAATAGTGAAGATAAATGGCCTTAGGAGTTACATAGGTTACAAGGTATAATGGAGGAATAAAGAAAGAAAATAATATATGAGAAATTACAAAAGTTTCTCTTGGCTGAATGGTCAAAGCCAACCGTTGGTGACATGCAACAAAGAATTAGTAACATATGCAGTAACTCCAAAATGGAGTAATGCACTAAGCAAGAATAATTGTCATTACTTCTGTAGCATATGAGAAAGTCAACCAAACGACAATATTTTAATCCCTAAAACTAAGCAAATTAATATTAAAATGCTAACACAAAACCAACAAAACTTATCTCCACCATTTGTATCAACATTCAAACCTTGAAGACTTATAAATTGTCTTTCATAAATCACCCCCCCCCCCCCCCCCCTCCCCCCGTCACAATGTACGGATAAGGATGTATACTTACCACAATATATATATATTGTGTTGTTGTTGATGACTTGTAAGTTGATTTTGATTTGATGAACCTCCATTTGTTTCGATTAGGCCATAAATTTATAAACAAAAAATAATTTATGAGAGAAGAAAAAAGGTTTTTCTTTTTCCTGATAAACAAGGATATAATATTAATAGCTAATATGCTTCATTACATAGTAGTGGTTGCGAGGCCTGAAGTAGAACTATTACAATATTTCATAGTAGGCATTGAACTGATAAGACGAACAAATAGAGTTCCCACTTTGTCTGCTTCCACTAGCTTTGAAACAAACAATGGCTTGACTTCCAAATATTTGCAAAAGTTGTCTTCCTTCATTGCTTATGAAAACAAAAGGTTTTATATATAATTCTCAAAGATCCATAGATAATAACAGTGAAACATTAAGTAACAACTCCTTCATTAAGTACTTCCCTTTTGAGTCATTATAAACACAAATGGAATATAACAAGTACAAAGATGACATGAAATATTATTCCTGACTGATCAGCCAAATAAATTCATTTTACTATATGTATGAATTCATTCTACAAAGAGGAAATTTGTCATTCTGCTTTACATTTAGCGCAATATTTATTTACTAGATAAAGAAAGCAACTAATCTTATGTGTAAAACCTTGTCCTGGGTGAAAACATTTAGTATTGGACTTTATCGACTTTGATGCCTTGGAGTCTTCTTTACG